TAGGAGGAGGAGAGCGAACGGCTCGATCAGGCGTCGTGAAATTACGGTGTGTGCAACCGCAACGCATTAGTAGGCAATACCGTACATGTTAGTAGTTAAAAGGATAAAGGATAAAGTCTTCGCCGTTGATCAATCCCTTTGTGGGATGCGGCACGCATTCTACTTCCATTCAGAATCGTAGTGGCTTATTGAATGCGATGTGGCCTATACAATGACTTGCGGTGGCCAGCCGATGTACAAGTCAGTGTTTTATCCTCCCAGACGAATCTGGTACCAATTTACCGTCCCCGGAGGGTAGAAGGCTTGGTTGGCCTGGGCGGGAGTCGACCCGGGATTTGAACCCGACCGCGCGGGTGGTGCGCCACTTGTCACTACACCACCTCCTGTCCCAATAATAATGATAATAATAGCATAAATTTAAGTGTTTGCCGCTATCGTAAACGGCCTTGGATGCTCTGCACTAAGATTTCTGTCTTCAAATGACCTCTAAATTCTTCTTAAACGCCAGGTACTGAGAATCTGTACCAGTGCTGCACTACAGAAATCTATACTTGAATTAGTTCTTTGACGAACGTGGCCGCCGTATCGTCTTGACGTCCGTAAGTGACAGCGCGTGGGTGTTCCTGATAAGGTGTTATCTAATGACGTAGTACTTCCAAGTGATGCCCGTTCCATTGAGGAAAATTATGTCTTTTGAATGTTTGATCTTGAACATAAGACGGATTTTGCAGGCAATCGTCTTAACCCACTTGCTCAGCCTGGATTTGGATACCCGCGAGGGCCTCTTCAGTACGATTTGAACCCGCAGTACATGGGAGGAGCGAGGAAGTCCGGTGGACGACGACCCAAGGAATTCGAAATGGGACCGGTAAGTGAATGTCTGAATTTTGAATTTTGATGAGATTCGTCGGGGTAAGGGCAGTGGGGGTGCCAGGCAGGCCGACTATGCCACGTGATGCTTTGCTTATCTTGTCCTGTTCTGTCTTGTCACGTTCTTTTCGAAATCTCAGAGTGGTGTCATTTGGCGCGACCACATTTCTGCTGACAGAGGCAACTCACGGTATTGAATACAAGAAATCTTATCTATAGCACGCCCGTTTTTCATCCATCTAGCGAAACTTTTTATCCTAAGACAGTAGCTTGAACTTGTGAAAGGAACGGTCGTACTAGAAAGTATCCGTCTTAATCTGTCCTTGGTTTTCTGGACTGTATTTGCCAAGCAGTTCCGTGAGCTACACCTCCAATGTCCGTGCGCAAATAGCCGTTGGCATGAGTCATCGTGGCACACGCGCCATGGAAACCTGGTTATTTCTCTTACTGTCATTCTTGATCTCTTGAATCGACAATAGGGGCCGCAGTAACACTTCTGAATGTCTGCACAAAAGGACAGCTCTGGTTGTTTTAGAAGAACCTTTCGAAGTGACGCTTGAAAGGAACTTACACTCTCATCCTCCACGCATCCTCTGCAAAGGATTCCTGGAGTGTTTAGAGAAGCATCCTGCCCGAAAAACCAACAGTTGTGATTGATCATATCCCTAGGAGGCTTTGTGCTGCGCTTCCCCAATGCTTTGTTGGAAAAAAGCTAGGGAGAGCTTAGTAGAACGAAAAGCAAGCCCAAATTGAGAATATACTGATTCCTCTGGATATTTCACGGAGTTCGGCAATTCCGTGAAAGGATACTTATTAGGCATGTATGTGCTTGCGTTTACCGTGCTTACTTTTGAAATGCCCCATGCATTCGAGTTGTCCCGCTTTTCAGAATCAAAATAGGCCATAATCTCGTTACTTGGTTCCGGAAACCTTGTTTCGCAACAGCCCGATTCCAGCTCTGGCCCTTTCTCAACAAGCTACTTACCATTGAAATTGTAGCTGTAGTTCGCCGTGCAGACGCGTGGGCGTGTCAATGGCGGTGCGTTGGGCGCGGGTGCCCCCACCAGGTTGTTTGGAGGGGCAAGCCTGACATTACTGTATTCATTTATCGGTCGTTTAGTCGTTTTCTACCACTTTTTGTCGCATGGGTGCTTCAACAAGAGGTAGAGAACGGCTTTCATGCGGTGGCACACTCATACTGCCGACACGCCCAACCGTCCGAGGCGAAGTAGAGTGTACCATCCACGCCAATCTTATTAGGTTGCAAGCAGTAAATTCATCCAGCATGTTCTCTATCTAGTCCGCTGCTGCCTTAGACGATCTAACGGCGGCTCCAAAGTAAGGGAACACAGTAATTCGATTGTCTCTCCATTACCATTTACAAACTTTACCTTCTCACCACGATGAAGGTTCGTCCGGTGTTGGATTAGGCACTCGAACCTTAACCCCACAGACCCTCTAATCGGGTCGCGAAACTCGACGCCGCCTACTCATCACCTCTTTTGTCTTCACTTGGATTTAAGAGATCGCAATAGGAAAAGTTGATAATGTTTAAAATATGTGATCTGTTGTCCGATGACGTACGTACGCACTTTTTTTCAAACTCCGAGTTTGGACACGACAGGCGCGTCGAAAGGTTTCAACTTTCATGTACAGGTTCAGAAAGGTCTTAGTTTGTTGAGATCCTACGAATTTCATCGCTCAGGAAACCTATTTACCCATGCACTTGAGGCAACGGAGATTATCTGTGCTGCGTTAGCGTACAGTGTGATTAACTCAAGTGCCCCAGAAGCCGAAGAGAGCTTGGCGACGGTTCTGTGAGAAAGTCTCCTTCATAGGTTTCGAGCCAAAGAACAGCATTACTGGTGGAACTTGATGCAGTCGAGGAGTGTTGCACCATATTAAGTTTTGCAAGATGGGAAGAGGCTTTTCGGATGAGAGCTTTCCTATAAGTTCCCCACTTGGGAGTCCCTTCTCACTAAAAAAATTTGGGCAATTCTGAACTGTTTGCAGAAACAGGAAATGGCCATAATGTTCCTGACTTGATCTTCTCGTGTACGTCTGCCGCGTTTCAAACAGGTTTTTCTCCCGATGACTCATTGCAGTGATCGTCCGATATGCGTAATAAAATCACTTAGCAGCCAATTTTGGATTTCATCTGCTATCAGAAAGATATCCTCTGGGCCCTGTGTGCAGAAAGAAGCTCTAGGAGGAAACTTTTTGCAGAGCAGAATCTCTTTTGAGTGTCTTGCCAGTAATTTCAATCACCCTTAGAGCTCGAATATCGCCTGCAAAGTTCAGCTCTACAAAGTTGGCTAAATGAAAGGCATTACCAGTTCTTGTTTGGTCATAATTCCCACACCATTTTAGTCCTCTTCTAGTTCGCCAAACAGAAACTGTTGCGTGCAAAATAATTGTGGGGTTCGTCAAGTTTCCCTATGTTTATCGTTCCACCCTCTCGCCTGCCTCGTTAAGATTCGCTCTGTGAGAGGCAGCGGACGATATTACTGTAGCAATGGAAAGCATTTGATGAAAGTTTACGGCAGCGTAATCATTTTCCTTTTTCAGGAGATCGAGGATCAAGACGAACTGGATAAGAGGATCAAGAGGCGCCAGAGAAATAAGGAGGCTGCAGCACGATGCCGTCAACGACGTCTCGACCTGATGACTAACCTCCAAGAGGTTCGGTAGTAGAATTTCTTGTCAGACTCATTGTGTAATAATATACTCGATGTTACAGCAAGTGGACAAGTTCAAAGCGGAAAACGAGAAGAAAGAAATGGAAATTCGCGCCATGAAGTCGCAGGTTCGTTAAGTTTGAGAATCCTGGTGACAGTCGTGGTAACCCAAAGAATCCTCTCTGCAAATCATCGGCGCAAAATCTTAAGCTATATCTAGTCCACTAGTTCAAAATAGGTCCTGACTTTTGGGAGGGGTGAGGCATGTGAAGGAATCCCTGTGGGGAAACTAGAATACCATGACGGTAATGTGGACTCCTGCAGAAGTCCTAGAGTTGCACAGGGGTCCAAGGGAGGGGGTGTTCGAGTGAAAGACATTCCTTCTATCTGGATGACCCAAAAAATGCATGGCCTTCGGCACTCACTTTTCAGGCTACAAGTCAAGGCGGCCTTTTTCCGCAACCCAGCCCTAAACTCCACTCTGTCCTCATGCACCACCTCCTTCAATTCCATAGACCAGCTCCTCATTTGCACCCACCTCTCCTTCCTTACCCTGCACCTCCCTTCTGCAAACCTACAATTTTCCAATTTTCCTGGAAACGCTCACTAAGTTGTGTGTAGGAATCATATTTTGCACCACTTTTCAGTAAATCATTAATCAGTTCAG